GAATATATTATGTAAAGTCTATTATTACATACATGTTTAATTATTTTAGACTAGTAAACAAATGGTTATTTTCAGTCATTTTAAAAAGTGAAATGCTACCTAGTAGTTTACTTTAAAAGCTTTTAAGAAAGCAATCTAAAACAGCACTTACGTCCAAATTCGTCGATTCGTTGATACAAAAATATGACTGGCCTCTTTTAACCACTTTTCAGGTAAAATAAACAAACCAAAAACAATACACAGTGCACACTGTCAAATTCAAATAAAGATTTTGTTAGGTTAGGATATATACGACATGCAGCCTGCGCATGTGCATTATATTTATCTGTTAGCTAAACTCACTATACATTGGTAATATCACCAAATAAATTATTTGGGAGATAAGAGGATTTTAACTGGTAGATACGGCTATTTGAAGGTGAAAGTACTGTATTTTTTGTTATCTGCCAGATAAAATTTATTCTTCAGTATAAAATATTTTATCTGTAGGTGAAAATACCGGGCCTTAGACGACCTAAGGAAGTGTCTGCATGCGGTTGCGTGTTATCGTAGACGATGCTATACAATAGTTCGTTGTAGAATTGAAAATTATCTGAGACGCGAGGTTGGATTCCAAATCTTATACTTATCTTGCCAGTTCGGAAATCTTTGATTATGTCAGTGATGCTGTAAAGGTGCATTTTACAAGCAGCGATTGTGGCGATGATCGCTGAGCAATAATCGCGTCGAGTAATCTTTTATAACTGCGATCATATTTGCCCTAAGATCACGCGAGGAGATAAACTCACTAGCGTCTACTGTTATTATCGCTTATAGGAAAACGGAAGTATATAAAGATCGCCTAGCAGTAGTCCGCTATGATCGCTGTGTGATTATCGCTCAGCGATCATCGTCACAATAGCTGCTGCAAAACTCACTTTAAGAGCGTCTGTACGTAGAACAAGAGTAAGTGGATCCAAATCGCCCGCAAACAGATTTTTTAAATTTTCATCAATTTGTGTTCTCCTTGTGATTCAAAAATAATTTTCTTTATTTAGTAATATTGGGATTTGTTTGGGAATTTCCTTGAAATATTATTCCAAATATATAATTTCGCTTTCTGTGGATGAAATAGTTACAAAATTTGAGTCATACTGGAGTATCAAAGCGGAGAGTGTATACCATTATTAAAGAAGACAGTTGTTATTGGAGAAGTCTCAGATTCGAAGAAGCCCCCTCAAAAAAAACAAGACCTTTATTGAGACTTAGGTAAAGGATGTAATAAGGCAAATGGTACATTCTTTCTTTTTTCAAAATTAAATTCTTACACTTAAAAATTTACACTCCGGAACAGAAATTATCCCAACTCATCCAAATATATCATATTTTTATCTGCAAAAAATATTACATACTCAAATTCTGTAAACCAAACAGTCAAAAATAAAGCAGTTAACCAGCAATTAATTAAAGTACTGTACAACATATTATGCTTTACTATGTTTAAATATATTAATTAAGATTTTTCCTTTTCATACTAATTTTACTCTTTGTGAAATTATTTATTTATTAGTTTTAAATTGTTCGTTTAATAGTTAACGCATTTTATCTAAATCCTGTTTAAATTTCCTATTTCCTGTTTTAACATTTTAACCCTTTTTTTAGCATGGCTATATCTAGACGGTTTTGAATTCCTATCAAGATGTTTTATGGTTTTTATACCTAGAAGTTTGTTTTGTATTTGGTACAATCTGAAGACCGTGGTTTGATACATCTCTAGAAGATCTAGACAGTTTCGAGTTTAAGTTAGAATACCAAATATCACGAAATAATTCACGTTGCAGAATTACGAATAAGGATCTCGAATCCTTTTGAAGAAGTTGCTGGAGGATATACCATGTACTATAAAACATTTCTTATATTACCTTTTTTTAACAAAAGTTTTATTTAATAAATCAACTTAAATTTGAATTTAGTAAAACTATGTGAATTAGAATTTGATATCTACCTTATCTAAATGGTTTAAATGTTATTTGTTAGTGGTTAGTGATTTTCTATATTTTTATCACTAATTTAGAGTCAAGTATAGTAAGCTTTAAATATAGTGGTGCCCAACTTCTTTTTTAAAGTTATTCGAGTTATTTAATGACCTAACCCACGCCCAATCAATTCAGCTCAAACACATTAAACAAGTAGATAGAATAACTAGAGATCACGTCACAAAAATGGCGCCTCAACTAGGTTAAATAGCTCTTAACTTTGAAATAGTTTTCTTATAACTTATCGTTCTAATTCCCATAGGTATTTCACAGAGGTTAACTATATTAACTGCATGTCTTGTATATTTTTACTAACACCTTCTTACCTCTTATTTTAACTTTTTCTATAAATCTGCAAATCGTATCATCAAGTTTTATATATCTGCATTTTGTACTAGGTTCAGTGTTTATTTATAGATATTTTGCTATTGATAAAAATTTTTTTTGTGTAGTGATAAAATTCCTTCATTTAGTTAAATATATTGCTTTTTACATTTTTTTTCTGATTGATATCCTCTTTAATAAAATGATTTCCAAACATTTAAAAAATCATGAGTTAACCTATGAAATTTTAATCAGAGGGGTAGACTTGCCTTCTACTGTAGAACAAAAAAGTTTTTTAGAGAAAAATAATCCTTAGAATCATAAAGATGATATCACAGAAATAGAATTGTCAATTAAAGAAGTCAATACAAAAATAAAAAATTTACTGGTAATAAAGCTGATCCAGCTTTTAAACGAATTAATTCTACATTAGTTGACTTGTCTAATAGGGTAACTAATTTAAAAGTAGACTCTCATAAAGAAGCTACACCTCAAAACACAATAAAAACAAAAATAATCATGTTAGAAGCTGATTTATCAGAAAAAATTAATAATAATTCTTCTAGTTTTAACTCTAGTACTGTATATACAGAACAAGTTAGTTGTCCTTCATATACAATGTAGATGTTCATAATTGGGGTGTATTTTATGATGGTAACAATTCGTTGTTTGATTTTTTAGAACATATTGAATTGTTAAGATTGGCTAGAGGTTTTTCGAAACAACAAGTGTTTCAACGTAGCTGTGATTTTTTAAAACGTGATGTTCTATTTTGGTATATGAATAATTGTTCTAAATTCACTGACTGGGATCACCTTGTTGAACAATTAAAATTACATTTCTTACCTTGTGACTATCAATATAATTTAGAATTGAAGATTCAAAATAGAAAACAACTTAATTCTGAAAGTATAACATTATACATTTCTTATATGGAAAAACTTTTTAAAAGATTAACTATCTTGCCAGATGAATGTAGAAGAGTAAATGTTATTAAAAGAAATCTTTTACCTCCCTTTATTTCTCAGTTAGCATTGAAGGGCCCTAGAACTATTGATGAGTTATCTATTTTATGTAAGAAGAACATTTATCTCAAAAGTTTACATATTCCGATGTAAATAATACTGCTGCTTTTGGTAGTTATAATTTTTCAACTAATACTAACCATTACCGTAGTAACAATAGTCAATTAAATAAAAGTAGATTATCTAATGTTTCTTGTTATAACTGTGGTAAAGTTGGAAATACTTATTCAACATGTTTTTCTAAATGGAATATCTTTTGTTATCGCTGTGGCTACAAACATATAAAACACTAGTAAATTGTCCCAATTGTTCAAAAAACGGACTACAGGCTGTACCTCAAGGTCTGGCTACGGGCCGCAGTCTTACAAATGTTCAAAATTTGCCAAGACCATCCCAAGAAAACAATTCACAAGGTACAAAAAACAGGAAACAAAATTAACTTCAATAGCAGAATGGAAACAGTATCTATATTTTGTAAAAAAAACTTCCTTAATAAAATATCTAACTCCAGTGCCATACCTAAGAAATTTTTTTATAACTTTAAAAATGATTATTATTTAATTAATAACATCTTGAAAGAGTAAAACCAAATTTGGTAGATTTTCACACTTTTATTTTAAAAATATAAAAATTTTTAAAAACACTAACATGACATATATTTTGAAGTACAACTTCTTTTTCAAATGTGACTAATTTACAATTCGGTATCCAATATATATATACGAAATAATTTAACAAAACAAAATAATTAAGAAAAACATCAATAACATTACAAAATTAAATTGTGGTAGTTGTCCAAAATTGTATATTAGTCAAACAGGCCGAACTTTCAAAAAACGCTATTCCGAACATTATAATAGCTATACAAAAAACAAAAATAATTCTACTTACTCAAATCATATTTTAGCTAAAAATCATTCTTTTACAGATAACTTTGAAATTTTACATATAGAAAATAATAGCCTTAAATTAAACCATTTAGAAACACTTGAAATAAATAGATTTAAAAATTCAGATAACTTACTAAATGATCAATTAGATATTAATAATTCACCCTTATTTAATCTCTTTCCTAGTTTTCTGTGAGATAATCCCGGTAATGTGCTATCTTATTGTTATCTGATTGATATAATTACCTAAGTACCCTTATTTACTTTAAATAGTTTATTTTGTAATGTTATTGATGTTTTTCTTAAGTACTTTGTTTTGTTAAATATTTCGTATATACATTGGATACCGAATTTAAAATAGTCACATTTGAAAAAGAAGTTGTACTTCGAAACATATGTCATGTTAGTGTTTTTAAAAATTTTTATATTTTTAAAATAAAAGTGTGAAAATCTACCAAATTTGGTTTTACTCTTTCAAGATTAAATGGATTTTCATCAAGTAAAGGCCGAAACAATAAATAATAATTAATAACAGTATCTCACCATCTCTAATAGTAGAGGATGGGTCAAACATACAGGGTGTTTCATTAAGCAATAACTTAATTCCACTATTTTTTAAGAAATTAATGATAATAGGCCATATTTAAAGGTTAAAATCCAATCAATTGAGCTCAAACACATTAAACAAGTAGATAGAATAACTAGAGATCACGTTACAGTACTTAATTTATTTAAAAATAACTTACACTTATGTTAAGTCCTCTTGCAAACAAGGTTCCAGTGTCAAAATGTAACCTGTGATTGACAATAGCTGCCTTTTGTATATTTTGTGGGAGTATCGCTGAATTTTTTGCATATTTTTGTACTAGGTAAACCATTATTGCGTGACTATCAACCAGTATAAATCCATCGTCGTCTAAAACTGGTACTGTATGCTGTGGATTTATCTGTAACGGGAAAAGATTGGATCAATTTTAAAATATTATTTTTATCTTTCATTATTGAAGAAGTTGATTGGTATTTTCATCGTAAAAAAATATTTACAGATTTAGAGTGAAGTTTTAAGCACTAAAAATTATTATATGGACCTGGAATAGAGCATTTTGAATAAGATATTTGACAGATTCTTGTAGAAAAATTTAATAAGTAAGGTGAATTGACACTTTTTATTGGACGTCCTGTATTTGGAATAATTTGTAGCAATACAGTAATAAATCTACTTAATTTATATATTAGTTTGTCAATTCGATGAAAAAAATACAAAAATGTTTAATAATGTAGGTACTTACCTTCAGAAAATGCGGTTGATACTGTTCAGCCTTTGCAACCAAGTCAATATCGATTAGCTCTAAATCCAATCCTATGTGTTTTGCGCAAAGTAACACAGCTCTAACAGGTGGACTAAGGTCAGTTTTGTATAATTTTGGAGTCATTTTCGAAACACAGTAATCTACTGTTCATTAAATATATTAAATATTTGTGTATGCTATGTATAATTTTGTTAAAAATAATTATTCCAAGGACACTTTTATCGCATTAATTTTATCATCAGCAGTAATAAATTACTTATATACACTGAGAAAAAATGCAACATCCAAGCAACAGATCTTGATCTGTTAAAAATTCGTTTTTTGAACAAGCGTTCACACTTTTTTTTTAAAATACGAATAATTTGTTATTGATTGTACAAGAGGCGATGAATAAAGACCCTTGCTGGAGTTTCAAGGAGAGGGACGTGTTTTTGTTTGCCGAGAAAACGAACTACAATAAACATACACTATGTAAGAAATCAGATCGAAAAAATGAGCAAAATTGAATATAGTAAAAAGATGATTTGTGTGCAAATTGAAGGATATAACACAGTTAAAAATAATTAGGATGTAAAACTGGCGATAACTCTCAAACTTTAGGAATAAAAGCAGACGAGTCACAAAGAAATGGCCACTTTTTACTGCCAATTCAATAACATTATATCACTATGTAACTACAGGAATGTTACTAACGCCTAAAAACGTTGATATGGTAATAAATTCCTTTATAGTGCGGCTTGGTGGGCCAGTCTAAATAATTAAAATTTTGATCTCTAAGTTAATAATCCAGTGACCTCTATGAGAACACTAAAGTCTGTAGGCCACATGTACAATCCGCAACTACCAAAAGATCTTCTAACAGAACTTACCGACATACTTAAGTTAAAATGGGGAGAAGAAGTAGCGATGAAAACGTTAAACTACAAGATTTTAATGAGTTTGTTTATGAAATGGCAGTATCGGCAGGCTATATCAGTGGTGGAGACAAAGTTGTCAAGAAGGGTGGATACAAAACTCACTATACTAAATCAAAACTAGAAAGAGTCCTCAGCACTACCGATAATTATTAAAATTTTATGCAATGTAGATACTGTGATGTGAAGGATCATGAAGAAGATTGTCCAAAAATGATGACTAATAGTGTAGACACTATATGGAAGGTGATAACTAAGAAAAATTATGTTTCTGTTGTCTAAAAAAAAATCACTAGAAGAGTAGATGCAAAAGTAACAAAACGTGTGATGTTGACAACTATATACGACTTCACCATCTTCACTAGTACTCAGCTAGACAGTACGAAAATAACCCTTAGTGTTCTTCCAATAGCACAAGTAATGTATATACCACAAAGTATGACACAAAAAATATACTTTTAAGAATAATGCCTATATGGTTTATAGGCTAGATAGTAATTTAAGAATATTAGCGCTTTCTGATAAAGCTTCTACAGTCACATTCATTGACTCCAACATTACGAACAGGCCAAAACTCTATGGAAAGAAGCAGGAACTTTGCCTACAATGGACATCTAATCCAACGAATTCAGTTTGGATATGCAAATCTTAAATACTGAACCAAAAACTAAAATGTATACTCTTAGAAATGTTCATACATTAGAAATCTAAGCTCTGTCCACACAAACAGTTCATTTGTCCAATCACAAACAGTATCCTCACCTAAAAGATATTGTACTGAAAGACATCTCCAATGAAATATCGATGCCATTGAAAAAGTTCGTAGTAGAAAATGATCCAGGAGCATATCAAAATGTATGCTGGGCTGGGCTTTACATAGTCCAAACATTACACATATGCAGTTTTATTCACCAGACGATAGAATGAAACAAATTTAGAAGAAAGCTTTTCCATCGATAATTTTGGAACTAAAAAGTTCAAAAATCCTGTAACATCCAACGAATTACGAACTATGGAAATAATGAAGAAAACAGCAAGAACAACAAAAGATATATATGAAATAGATCTATTATGAAAATATGAGAATTCAGTCCTTCTACCCAGTAAAGCTACAACTCTCCAAAGACTTTGTTGTTTTAAAAGAAAATGTAAGAAAAACATGAGATTAGGCGAAGATTATTCAAATAGTATTCAAATAAAATTAAAAGTTATACCGAAAAGGACTATGAAGAGAAATTATCTCCTGAAGAAGCTTTCATTGAAGGGCCTACTACTTGGTACCTTTTCACTTTCCAGTTATAAGTGTCAAAAAGAAAAACTAAGCCTAGTTTTTGATGCGGCTGCAAAGTTTTTACGGAAGAAGTTTGAATGATGTTCTGGCAAATATTTATTGGTGGATTTCCTCTTAGTGTAGTGACTCTCATAGGATGGAATAGATAAAATATGATCTTTGGCAATTTGTTTGTCATTTTCATTATTTTTGTTGTTGTTAAAAGTCCCTCTTTGATCTAATCTCATTACGCCCTCCTTTTTTTTTAACAAATTTTCAACAAACTTATTATTTAAATCAAAGGTTCACTTAAAACATTCTTTTCATGTACGTTGCAAGCGGTCATTTACTCTAAAATAATAAACTGCAATATCTGTAAGTTCTTTATTGCTATTTGTTTTAAGTATTCGAATATCCTTTTTATCTTGGAAAGTAATCATATCGCTTATATACTGAGCCCTTCTGTCATAACTGCCCATAGCCCATAAACCTTAAATTTAAAAATCATTTTAAATGCTTTTTCAATGGACTTAAATTCATCTCACCTGCAATCTGCTGCACGACACTAAGGTCCGTAATTTTTAATTTTAAATTTCCAGAATCTGGAACATAAAGATTACTGTCTTAAACTTTTTTATGAACAACTTAAATACAAAGTAAAATCCAAAAAATAATAAATTTAATATTACCGGATACACTCTGATTGTCGTTTGATTTTGTATAAATCATTTGTAAAAAAAATTAGGTTCTATAAGACATGTTTCAACCTGTTACACTAATAAAACTATAAAATTATGATACATTTTTGTTAGGTTATGTGGTTAATAATAGGTACAGATATAACTCAATTAAAACGAGTATACAAAGTTCAACTTCTCTTCCTGTACTAACTCCGTTATTCTCTTTTACACAAAATAAAGAGGAAATATTATAACTTATATCTTTCTTATATTGTAAAATGTGTGTGATACAGATGGCTATGACTTCCTTTTCCCCGTGCATAGACAGTCATTTTAAGTTTTGAAATACGACATAACCCCGATTTTTAAAAAATATGACAACACCATTTTCAAACTCATCAGCGTTATCGTAAGTCTTTCTTTATAAATACTTACCATTGTTTACCACATCTTTAGTAATATCTACAATTTACATTGTAATTTGAATAACTGTAATTTGAACAACTTAAATATTGTTATACCTTCGTTATACATCATATCATATATTTTTTTAAATGCTTGATGATTGTCATTGACCGAAACTAGTCGTTTAATAATTTTTTTTGTGGTAAAAAATAAGAGTTTCTCTTTTTCTTTATAATTATGGGAGATGTCTTATTTTTTATGCATTATGTACGACTTACTGTAAAGTTCGATGCAATCGGGACTTCTGATATTTATGTAAACACGAAAATACTCTTACTTATACCGTAAGACGCGTCTACGGGTTCTGTGTGACTATTGGGGATAATTTTAGAATGAGATAATGAATTTTTGAGCGCCAGAACCGAAGTCTGTAGTCACACTGTGAGTTTGTTTGATTTTGATGCAGTTTTCGACTTGCTACGCGTACACACGTCCGCGTCTAATTTTCAAATATTTTTTTTTTCAATAGTTTCCAAAGGTGCTATTACTGAAATCACCAAGTTATTTATAGTGAATAAATTTTCATTCACATCTTAGATCTGGAAAAGTATTTAATAAAAACAATAGAATAATAACATTATTTTTTTAACCATACATAATGAATGGAAAAGGTATGAGGAGGAAGAAGTCATCTCTTTCTGAAGTGAAAATGGCTGTAATCGGAGCACCGGGAGTTGGAAAAAGTGGTAAGTTTATTTTTTATCAAAATATATTTCGTAAATCTATTAAAGACAAAACAAATTTTTAACTGTCAAATAACTTTACATTAACACAAAAAAATTATCAACAACCAATTTTAATTATTACGATACAAAAAATAAAAACAGAAAATATTCACAGGTCACATTAGAAAAAAACTGATGTGTCCAACACATGACTTTCCTATCTAGTTATTATAGGCTTTTTCCGGTTATTTTGTACAACCTATTGCAGCATCTCTATAAATGTTTAAAGGATAAACTAAATATATACATTGTCCACATACATCTACCTCGAAACATTTTTCTATAGATATTCATTGAAAACGAAAATACTGAAAAATTTAAATTTAGCCCTTTTCCTAGACGGTCCATTTTAGAAAAATCATGTATAAACAAAAATTATAGAGATCGATATCGCAAACAACTTTTAGTTCAACAATTTTCATAAAAATCAGAATTTTGCACATTTTGTCAAATTTCTCGAATACGGACCATTTCAGGAAATTTTGACATAAAGCAAAAATTATAGATAATAATATTAGAAGTAACTTTTATTTAAACAATGTTCTTCTCCAAACATAAATAACAGATATATTCCATAAAATATAAAAACAGCCTCATATAAAGTACCCCCCCAGATGTTCCGACTTTGTCCAAAATCTAATCATTTCACGTCAGGCCGAAATAAACCCTAAGTTAAAATTTAATGTTTTTTCTTTATCCGTTTTTGAGTTTTCTTCAAAATTCGAAATTTACACATTTTCTCAAATATCTCGAATACGGTTTATTTTAGAAAAATTATGTATGGAATAAAAATTATAGAAAATTATATTACAAACATTTTTTATTTGAACAATTTTTATAAAAAAAATATTTTTTTTACATTTTGTCAAATTTCTCGAATTCGGACCATTTTAGGAAAATTTTGTATAGAACAAAAATTTTAGATAATAATATAAGAAGTAACTTTTATTTAAAGAATTTTCTTTCCCAAACGTAAATAACAGATATATGCCATAAAATATAAAAATGACCACCTATAAAGTACCCCCCAGATGTTCCGACACTGCCCAAAATCTAATCAGCACATTGGACGCTGGAAAAAAGCCTAAGTTTGAAATTTGGTGTTTTTCTGTAAATCGGTTC